ATTCTTCCATTGCTTGATTTGTCAATGCAGAAATACTTAAAAAAAGTAATCCTTTTCCATCCAAGTTGCTTCCTCATAGCTCCATTATATATGTGCATATGTCTAGCCACTTCTATGTCCATAGTCCGGAATGTAATAGCCAGACAGGTACATATGTGCTGTCTGATATGTATGACTGTGTTGTCCTAACTGCTGCAGGTGAACAGTGGTACAGCTGAGGTGGACCTGAGAGTCCTGTTACCAGACAGAAGCACACTCACTGTCACCATCAGGAGAAACAACAACACAGACCAGGTCTACGACGTAAGTCTACTTATCGCCCCTCATTTTTCCCTAATAGCAATGGATTGATGCAAAATCTCTCTCAAGCTCTCATATGCCACCAAAGGACATCAATCAAGAAGCTCATTAATTTGTATAACATACTTAACCATTGGTATCCAATCTATAATGTAATGGTTAACATGGAAGGTACTCTGCTATTGAGGGTAAGCTTTCTTCACCTTGTGCTACAATTACATTTGCCTGTCAGTCCAGGCCTAAAGTTTAGACTTCTATCTTTGCATGCCCCCCACCCCCACTTGTTGTTCTATAGTTGGTACTACTGGTAATATTAATGGCTCTAAACTCCTCTGTTTCTACAGGCTGTAGTAGACAAACTGGGACTTGATGAGGAACTACTTCCCTACTTCGGACTGTTTGAAATTATGGACACAAACTTTGGTGAGTTATGTACGGAACAAAATCAGTCATCATTGCATAATGTTGTATGCACATAAGTATTTGGAAGGATGTGTCACAACGTTTGACTAACAATTTTGACCTATGTTTACATTGGTTCATGTTGCATCATGTGGCATAATAGTTGAAGGGTTCAGCTTGGAACCAAGAGGTCCCAGGTTCGATCTCCTGACATACACAATGTTGGAAAAGGCACTTTGCATGACTTCCCTCCCTGTACAGTGGAGTGATGCCCACCGGGCCTTTCAGCTAATCATTGATACAGTGTCCAAACACTGATGAGGACACAGACGGATTTGGTGTCGCCAGTGTGCTAAGATCTTCACATTTGCCTAAGAACCGTACGTTACTCTCCTGTGTTTTGTCTCCTGTAGAGAGAAAACTGGTGCCCACAGAGTTCCCCCATAACCTGTACATCCAGAACTACACAGCTGCAGCCTCCACCTGCATCGCTCTGCGCAAATGGCTCTTCGACCTGCAGAGAGAACTGCGGCTGTCGCACCTGGACATGGCCAACACCTTCTTCTACTGGCAGGTGGGTGCAGGTGACACAAATAGTGCACAGACAGCAACAGGTACTAGGCCAAGGAAAAAATATGTTGTGTTTCCTGTTTCAGTCCAGAAAAAATTAGGGTCGGTAGGTAGGGATTATCTTATTTTATTTTTATTTTTATTTTTTTTTAGACTTTGCTGATTGCTGTGTTTATATAAGCAGAACATGATGAAAAATCGATTGTGCAATATTATATTTCATCACTCAGGTACTCAGGTGTCAGATCATGGAGCTTTAAACGGTCGATCAGCTCGAAGAACTCAACAGATGTCCCTAGCCCTTGCAGGGCTAAATTCAGATTCAGGTCCTGATTCAAGTCTACAGGTTTTCAGGGTTCTCCCAGGGATTTGGGAGAAAAAAAAGAAAAAAAAAAGAATTCTAAAGAAAAAAAAATTAATCTGCACAAAATTTTAATTGGTTTCTATCCCTTTGTTTGCCTAAAAATCGATAGTGTGATTGTATCAATTTGAAACCCCAAAAAATTAGCTAAATCGGCGATTTAAGGTTATTGCGCAATGGACGTGCCCTATGACCTTCAACATTTGGGGGTCATGCAGGCGTCAACAGCGCCCTCCCCCATGCCTTGCCAGTCCGTTTTCATGGGCAAATTTCTGCTTTTTTAGAGGTTTTGCGACCTAAAAACTCACATCAGAGGAAAAATACACTACAGACGACATTTTCATGGTAAATATCGATAAATGGACCAGGCATTTTTCTGTCCCGTTGCCGATTTTGCTGATTTTCGCCATGTGCTTATAATTTGTTTACGTCAATAGCTACCTTTCCTCGTCCGGTTTTATGGGCAAATTTCCGCTTTTTTAGAAGTTTTGGGACTAAAAGACCGACAAAGGGGGAAAAATAAATCATATACATTATTTTTATGAGAAATACTGCTATCATAGACCAGACATTTTTCTTTCGCGTTGCCGAATTTTTGCGGCCGCCACATGCTGATGGTGCAGTACGGTAGGGAATTTTCTACGATTAATTCGTAAATGTATCGGCTTTTAAACTTATTTTCGGAGTCGATGGCTTTGTTTTACAAACAAATCAGACAAATTATTAGCGTTGTTTACACGACTTCAAAACGCTAGCGGGGCGCCCGATGTTCCACCAATGACAGCGATTCTCTCGGTAGCGTCGTGCAAAATGTTTTGGTTCAGCAATATGCAGGGGTCCACACAAAAATAAGGCTAGGGTCGGCGGTTTTTTTAGGGTCGGTCGGGAAACAGGAAACACAACATTTATTTTCCTAGGCCCTATAAATAAATCACTTTATATTTGCAGTAGCAAAATTTTGCTGTCTCAGAAAAATGCTCACAGTGGAGGCAGGTGCAGAAAAAAGAAAGTCGGCAAATATTTTCTTCACAGGATAGATAATTTGTGGTACAGAGTGACCACAGAAACAGCTGATATAAAAGTACAGCAAATATAAAGTGATTTACAGTATTTGCCAAGTCCAAGTACATCAATCACTGTGCAGTAATGATAGATACACATTACGTATATCTGTAATTTACTCAGACCGATCAGTGAAGTTGAATTGATGGGCCTTTAACTCGTCTGTATGATTTACCAGGTAAACTTTGATACATCAACTTTTGTGAACAAATAACACCTTGATGTCTCGGTTTCTAGGTCAATCTGCTTTACCTTACCTTTGAAGTATAATGTGGAGTACAGCCATGACAGGATTCGGCTCGTTTAGCTCCATGTCAAACACCTTCCCATCTCACAGTTAAGCAGGGCTGAAGATATGATTCCAGGAGAAGTCATAGGTCAATAGAAGTCCTGCCATAAGCGGCAGTTAGCAGTCAGTGACCCAGTCCTGGTGGTGGAGAGTAATGTCACCTGTCTGGACTGTGACAAGACAGATTTATCATGGACCAGTCTCTGGCCTGACCTCTGCACCTACAGATAGAGTGAAGATACATCAACAGGACTTTTGGCCACATCACACACTTACAGATGTGGCCCATGGGGCACAGTTTGACAGGCTGGTTAGGAGCATGCATGTGGAACGTGGGTGATTGTATAATATGTCAAGCTTCGATCTCGTGTAGATCCATGTTCTGTCATCCTGCAACATCACATCTGTCTTTCTGTCAT